TTGTACTGAGAAGCACAGTGTACTGCATAGGCTGTTCTGGGACATTTGTTCATCAAAGACATTTCCAATATGTGGAAACACAGTTAAGGCTAATGCAAGGAAATTAGGGAAGCTACATGACTTGGAGAGGGAGATATGCAACTAGTACAGAGACACTTGAAATTTCCAGTGTCTGCTTTTTCTATGTGGCTTATGTCTGATTACTTCTGTGTACAAAGGGTGTCATTTTAGAACACAGGTATGGATAAAATGACTATAATTTCAATATAATATAAAAGGTGAGACAGTGAGTTGTCCTCACTGGACATCCTTCCTTTTGTTACATACACCATAAACACAGATGTGGATTTACTCCACGTTGTGTATTAGGGGAGCACACAGCCTGAGCTGTCCAGCTCATGTTCTTACAACAGTTGCTCTCCAAACAGAAGTGCTCCTGTCCATTAGAAAAATTGAAATCCTGAATACTCTTTGGCAACCTCTCTTGTTTATATGACTTACAAAACATTCTTTTTCTAGAAGAGATGTTAAGGCTCAGGTTTCTCTAGAAACACTGCCATCTTGTCAGAGCATAGTAAGGAACATAAAAATCTACAATAAATTCTGGTTAGCACTGGATCTACAGCAGCCTTCATCATCCTTTTTGTATTGTACTATAGCTGCCATCACTCTTGAGCCAGCATGACCATTAGCCACAGTGGCTCCGAATTATGGAATTTGTAGTTCAAATTACTAATTACAAATTGGAGAATACTGTTCTATAGACTCTCAGGTAGGCTTTCCCATAACCTGCTAGCTCATCATTTTAGCTCAAAATGGTAGGGACCAAACAGGGATGTTCCTCACTCAAAACAGAAGCTTTACCACTGGCTTCCCTCTTACTTTTTAGTTTTTATGCATGGTGATTTCTATATGTGTGGCTTCTGGTGAAACAAATGTAGTTGTGCCTACTCTGGAACCTTTTAACCTATTTGCCATATGTTCTAAAATTGATTCTTGGTTTTGAAATCACTTGCTAGACTTCACTTCTGACATAAAGAGACTTCCACCACTGGGCATTTCCCAGAATCCAGTTTTTGTCATATCTTTCATTGCTCAATTTTGATCCATGTTAGTTTTTCCACAAGGCTGATATGCTGCACTGTGTTATGATGATACTATACTGGTACAGCAATATGGCATGCCAACCTTTGGGTTTCTTAAGGGGTGGGGACATATTAGATTGTATAACTCAACTTGCTAGGTTATTGAGATGGCACCCACAAATTAATATATAATTGAGGAATTTTAATAGCTCAAATTAATATCAGTGAGAGGGCCAGAATAATACTGGCTAGGACACAAGCCTTTGTATACCAGTTCCAAAAACCTAGAACTCCAGAGTGCTAAGTACAACTCAGTTTTATTGATTAACAGCAAAGAGGAAAATCACCATTCATGCAACAGCATTCACACACACATAAAACTATCAAAATTAAAGATAGAAACTTGTAGTAAGGTTGAGGGAAGGCAATGCCTTACCAGAAGCCAGGCTCCAATCTAGCAGAAAACTGGGAGTTAAGCCTGACTCAGTCTGCTTGCTGTGTATATCATAGTCAGAAGTACTGAGGGGCCAAGTTTGAATCTGGCAGAGTTTTTGCCTTATTGCAAACTGGACCAAATTGTTATTGTTCAGGCATATGTATTTATACCCAGAAATGGGTCCTAAGGGCAGTGTTTCAGTAGTTGGTAGGCTTAAGTGAATTTCTCAGGGGAGAAGAATGGAGTGTGATATGCATTAATGAGTGAATAATCGTCATAAATTATCCCAGACAAAAAGAGTTTCATTCACAGGAAGAAACTCCCTTTGTCTTTCATATGCAAACATCTCCCAGTCCAGCTCACTATCACCCTTCTCATAGTCAAGCGATTATGCTGATTCTGATCTTGAGAGAGCCCATCATGGCTAAGTGCCCTGGACTTCTCCCATGCTGAGCCATCCAGATCAATGTGATATAGCTGGTTTCCTTTTGGGCTACTTACCTAAAATATCCCTTTTTGATATAGAATTGATATCAAAGGTCACAGAGGACTGACTGAGAGCTGGATATTGAGTTACCACCATCTTAAATATATATATATATAATGGCATGACTGTCTGTGTATCACAGTCGTCTTTATCAGATGCATAGCTTAATGATTCATCTATTTTCCAAAACGGAGCCGCAGGCTAATCCATCAAATAATAGCTAAATTAAAGACTATAAAAAGGGTCTATTGTTTTATTGTCTACAGGGTTCCTCTGACAAAAGCGTGTTTATCTTCTGTCTCAGGAAAGAAGCACAGCAGAAAATTAATCAGTAACATAATGCACACATTGTCTAAGACTGATTCATTAGAATGCAGTTTCAAAGCTGTTCATTGTTTTGATGGTAATCATATCATTCATTAGCAATACAATAAACTCAGTTACTTCTTAAAGGGCCTGTCTTCCTATTTTCTCCCCCCCCCTTTAAAAATATTTTTATTATCCATAACACAAATACAATACAACTATACATCTTATACATTTTCTATATACAAATGGGCTCATAAAACTTCTTATCCCTCTGTCCCTTCTCTTGCCCTCTCTCCCAAATCTTTTTACTTTTCCATGTTGGTACAATTTTTAACAGCTATCTTATTAGTTATTCTTCCCTTCATACAGAATTTTTCTTCCACTTCCTCTTAATCATTCTCTTTACTATTATTCAGTCTCTATGACTTACACTCTAGTCTCAATCATTGTCCTAACGTACAATGTTTGTATTTTCATATCATTAAATTAAACATAATGATGCTCAAGCTACCTGTGGTTTTGTTTCCAAGTTAATCTTGGGTATCAACTGAAATTAACAGATGCTACAACAGTGCTAGCAAATATAATTGACACCATCACACTTATCGCAAATAGTATTCATAAGCTTCAGTCTAGAAGCGGCTGTGCACATAAGCAAACAACCAAGCATAGAAATGGTGCTTCAGCCAGAATTCTTGTCAGTGAATCTCTGAATCAAGCATTTATTGCTCTTTGCACATTTAGATACAGAAGAATAGATTTCCAGTTCCATGATGTAAAGGTGGAGAAAATCTTCATGTGGATAAGGAAAAATCACACAGACTACAATGAGAAAAAAAGATTAACAATCAGTTTTAGAAAGTTATATTTAATAATTACATTTTATATTATTAATGAATGATAGTATATGAAAAGTTAGATCAGGAATGTTGGATGTCAAGCCTTTAAAAAACCCTGAATGCATTCCCCTGATAAAAAGTATAATGTTTTGATTTTTTCCTATGATTATTTACAGCTCCTTAAGCTGTAAGCCACATACTCTGAGACTTATTTTTTTTAATGTTTCAACTCTATACACACTTATTTGAGAATAAATATCACTGAACTCAATACATTTTATTTTCATAGTAGAAAAGATAGTACCAGCTGAGTCTCCCTTATCAGGAATTCTGAAATCTGAACTATTCCAGAAACCAAAACTTTTTTCATGGATGGTTGACATAGTGACATCTTTGCTTTCTGATGGTTTAATGTACACAAACTTTATTTCATGCACAAAATTATTTGAAATATTGTATAAAATTTCACTCAGGCTATGCGTATACAATATATATGAAACACAAATGAATTTTGTGTTTAGACTTGATCCCATCTTCAAGATATCTCATTATGTATGTACAATTGCCCTCCATATTTGTGACTTTGACTCTGGCAGATTTGATTATTTGTGAATTTAATTAATATGTTCTCTCTAGCATTCTCAAAGTCATCCAGTGTGACTCTGCCAGACGTTGGCCATTGAATCACACTGGAGGACCTAGCACTTCCTAGAGAAAATATTTCTGTAGGTATTTGTAGGCCCTCCAGTGTGATTCTACAGTCAACATCCACCTGATGTTGACCATACAGTTGCACTGAAAAATGTAGAGACTCCTAAAGAGGTGTTCTTACAGGTAAAAAGAGAGAGAGAGAAAGAAAGAGAGTTTTTTTTTTTTTAATTTGCAGTTTTTCCACTTTCATGAGGGTCCTGTGCCCCTAACCCCAGTGAATGAGGAGGGCCCACCGTATATGATAATACAGGTATTCCAATATAAAAAAAAAATCCAAATCCAAAACACTTCTAAGCATTTTGTATAAGTGAGATTCAACCAGTATATAGGATTGTAGTGTAAATTATCAGACTTCTGATATGACTGCATGTGCCCCACACTGAAAAAGAAAAACTTTATGTTATGACAAAGAAAAACAATCTCTATGAACTGGCACAAGTTTCATAAATCATTCAGGCAAATGTTGTGCCCTGGAGGAGGGGTGTATTAATGTAAATGCTCCTTAAATGCTACAGTGCACCCTTATATGAGACTGGCAGTTTGGTAAATGCTACTAAACTTTTGTAACATATTTAAACAGCCAAACCTTCTGTTCCATATGAAAGAATGCATAGGCTCTTTGACTATTAGGGGAAGGATCAAGACTAAAACTGGCAGCAGTATGTAGCCAAAAGTCTAGTATGGGGGATTTTATTTAGCTCAAATCAAGAGGGGATCGGCTACAAGGACCCTGCGAGACCGTCTCCCACGTGTATACCAAAAGTCTGGCGGATCTAAGAATTGATGCAGAGGCAGTAT